AGCTAAGTCTGTTGAAGACCATTTTATTTTTATTTTATTATCTGTTTTAACTTCTCATTCTATATGTCTGAGCAAGTAAGCTAGAATGACATTCCATTGTTGAAGGCTAAGATAATCTATGATGACCTCTGAGATTCTGTGTTTAGCTTAATTTGAAATTCTCTGGTCTGGGGGGAAGATCCTGAGAGCAGTTAAGCTGCTTTGGGAGGCGCATCCCGAGAGAGTGTGGAGCTTTGTGATAAGTGGATGAGAAACCCTAAGATCAGGGCAATTATTTTGTTCCCACAGCTATGGTCAATAATGAAGGCCTAAATCAAAAAAGGTGAAATCTTCCTCTGCACTTTGTGCTTATAACAATGATTTTGTTAAACATGACTGGAATAAGTTATTTTGATACCTAAATATGTTTCTTCTTTTTGTACACTTTTGGAGGAACATTGCTCATCGGATTAGAACCGGATGATCAAGCAGATGATCAAACAAATATTGCTGTGACCTGGATTCGATGAGGAAAGCAGACATGAGGACAACAAAATGGAGGAACCACATTGGGATCAGCCTCTGTCATGCATCTTTAAAAGGCAGAAATCTTTTCCTGAAATTTCTCTTCAAGACACATAATTATAATTTATTGTCAAAGCTTACCAAGGCTGGTCTGAATGTATGTGAGTTGTCCATTGATTTACAGGTCAAAATGAATAGGAACTTTTTTTCCTTTAAATTTACATGAAACAGAAAGAATGAGGACTGAAAAGAAAAAATCAAATGAAATGCTGAAACAAAGAAAAATGAAAATGAAAGAGAAATGATAAGAGGCTATGTTCCCTATTGAAACAACTTGTTCAGTCTATTGGTGAAACTTTTTCTAAACAGACTGATGACGGATGAGGTCATACATGCACCGCTTCGTTTTAAAAAACATAAATATAAAAACTATAACTTCGGATGTCTGGGGACAGTGATTCGCCTACATGTTATGAATACTGGCGTAACAGTTTAGTTTGTGCCTTCAACTCATTTCCCATAGGAAGACGTGACTTGGATTACAAAACTCAATTTATCTTCAGAACAGCTCCAAATGACACAAAACTAATATGGGTGAGTAGAACATGATGTAATAATGTAAACTCAAGGGGCCAATGTAAAGAAAAGACGGTGTTCCCCTTTAAGCTACTTTTTTAGGCCTGTAGGTTCATGAACATAAAGTTAATGATAAATCACTATGTCTTGCTTGCACCTGAGAATAGTGGGTGTCTTTCATACTAGACAGCGCTCCGTAAATACCGTAAAACAAGTACATAAAAAAACTGTGCGCACTTAAAGTTTCCATTATCGGGTTTGGTTTTTATGACAAGTTTTATCTTATCACTAAGTGTTAGCAAATCACACCAGCTGTTAGGCTCTTAGCACTCAGTCAAGCTTTTGTAGCTTCACTTTTTCTTAAGTGCCTGTGTCAAGGTGAGGTAGTTATTTCTAAGGCAGCACCATCTTGTGGAGTTTATTCCATGTTTAATCTTATGGATATGACAGTTACATTTCTAAATCGCTTTCCAGTAATGGAAAATATGTTTTAAGGATGAGGTACCATAAACCATGGTAAAATAACTGCTGAGTCACTAGTTCTGATCTACAGCCCTTTCAAAGACTGACAAGTATATAGTGTTCTTTTTACTGTGTCAGTAAACGATGCTCCATATTTTTTTCAATCATTGAAAAGTACATATTTCAGCTGTGGCATAACCACTTACTCTGACAGAGTTGGGATATGTAAAAAGGTCTGAGTGAAAGTGAATTAGTGAGTTAGCATGCGATCAGAATTGTCCTGGAAGAGCTTTTAAATATATTTTATATCTGAACTGGAGAAGAAAGGCAAACTTGGAAAGGCATCAGAAGAGGTTTCCCCTTTTCTTTTTAAGCATTTTAAAATTCAGTCTGCATACAACCTGCCTTTTAAATGAACAGGCATTAACTTTTATTTTTTGCTTAAATAAAAGCTGAGGTAATATAAGGGTACTCCTGGGACCACTCCTGGCAATGGTATTTGTACTAAAACGAAAGTGTCGTCCAACCTCACAGCAGAGAGCAGACAGAGTTGATTTCGTGGTTTGAAATTAATCCATTAAGGTTCTCTATTATATTAGGAGGATCAAGGCTGAAAGTAGGTGTTGCTACAGGCGAGAGGCAGGGTACACCCTGGACAGGTGCCTTGCAGAACCAATTTTGAAAATACAGTAATTAATATATATATATATATATATCTTTTTAAGAGTTGAGTAGTCAATAATAATTTAAAAAAGGGAAATTTTTTTACCAAAAGGTTTCACCCAGCTACATACCAAGAGGGTAACACCATTTTGTGCCATAGTTAAAATAATTTAAAAATATCTGTTCAGAAATCCTGTAAACATGCGAGTCAAGACTGGACTGAATTATTTAATACTTATTATAGATTCTTTGGAAGGTTGAGGTCTTTGAACATTATTCTTAATGGTAAAGAGGTGATAAAAGCCCCTCTTAAACCTTTCAAATGATTAATGGAGCATCACAACTTTTTCAGCGTTCTTAAAGGAAAATCATAATCGTTTCTAGGTGTTACGGCTCCCCCCCCCCTTTACTGGGGAGAGAGGGAAGTAACTTGACAACCACAAAAAAAATTCAGAGACCAAGTGAATGTTAGAAAAGAAAAATCAGGGATTTATTGGTTACAGAAAATCCCAAGCAACTCATACAAATGGTGGGGGAGAAAGGGACGATTAGGTGGTGCCAAATCAAAGAAAATAATAAAACAAAAACAGGGCCTACCTACGGTCTAAGCTACATAAAACAAATGAAAAAAAAAACCCTGCTTAACTAATCTAACAAAAAGATTTTCCAAAACTTTACAAGGGTGGCATCCACCTACTTACCTAGTGTGTTTAACAGAAATATTCCTACGTGATGAGATGTACAGGGTACCCCAACCTTACCTTGTCCACTAACTCCCACCACAGACCATTAGACACACAGAACACAACCATGCAGCAAGCAAGCCAAGGGAAAAAAAGGGGGTAGGATCTCTAAGTGGCTTGCTTATATAGGACCTCCCTGGATCCTGATTGGTCCAAAGGTGGAGAGAATCAATCAAGGGAAGATGGATCCCAGCTTCTGCTATCTGTGTAGAAGCAAAGGGGAGGGGGGAGGGGAAAGAAAAACAAACAGCCTGGCAGGCATGTAACACCCCCACCCTTCTAAGTCCAAACATAAATGTTTGGAATGCACAAAATAAAAAACCTTAAGCTTAAAGGGCATGTGACAAAGCATCTGCCAACACATTCTCCGACCCTTTCTTGTGGCAGATCTTAAGGTTGTATTCCTGAACGACTAAAGCCCACCGCATAAGTCTTTGATTCTGGTTGTACATCCTGGAAAGACAGACAAGTGGGTTATGGTCTGTAAAGACAGTTATGGGTTTCACACTCAAGCCGAGGTAGGCTTCAAAGTGCTGTAATGCCAAAAGTAGTGCAAGCGCTTCCTTCTCAATAGTAGAATATCTACTTTGATGATGAGTAAACTTCCTTGAGAAGTAACTTACAGGGTGCTCTATTCCATCTTTATCATCCTGTAGAAGAACAGCTCCTACCCCAACAGCACTGGCATCATTGTCCAGTTTAAATGGCAGACTGAAGTTTGGGGCAGAAAGAACAGGAGAACAAATGAGCAATCCTTTAAGTTGTTCAAAAGCATGCTGACATTCATCAGACCAAGTAAAAGGTTTAGAGGGGCTTGTCAAAGTTGTTAAAGGGGCTGCTACCGTGGAAAAGTTTTTGCAAAAGCGACGGTAGAACCCAGCCATGCCCAGGAATCGGCGGAGCTCTCTACTGGTAGGAACCGGAAAGTCAGAAATGACTTTGATTTTAGCATCCACAGGACATACCTTTCCTCCACCAACCTGTTGGCCAAGATAGAGAATGGTACCTTTGCCAAACTCACACTTTGAAAGATTGAGTGTCAGTGAGGCAGCTGAAAGGCGTTTGAAGACCTCAAGCAAAGTGGCAAGATGACTAGACCAGTCATTTGAATACACAACAATGTCATCTAGATATACCCGGCAGTTTGGCACATCACCCAGTACTTTATTTACAAGCCTTTGAAATGTGGCCGGAGCATTACACAGCCCGAAAGGCATCACTGTGTACTGGAGAAAACTGTCCGGTGTGACAAAAGCTGATATGTCAGAGGCTTCTTTTGTTAGGGGCACCTGCCAATATCCTTTCAGCATGTCAAGTTTAGTGACAAATGTTGCAGGTCCAATCTCATCTATACAGTCTTCAATGAGAGGCAAAGGGTGTGCATCAAGGACTGTTACAGCATTCACTTTGCGAAAGTCTGTACAGAACCTTGAACTTCCATCAGCCTTCATGTCCAACAAACATGGAGAACTCCATGGGCTATAACTTGGAATGGCAAGTCCATTCTCACCAAGATACTCAACCTCCTTTTTCATGATCTCCCTCTTGGTGGGGTTGACACGATATGCCCTCTGCTTTATAGGTGCAGGATTGGTAAGAACAATGTCATGACACACCACACTAGTTTGGGTGGGAACATCCCCAAACAGACATGGGAAGTCAAAAAGGAGTTTTTTAATGTCTTCCACTTAGCTATCTGATAAATGGGATAGATAACTGGGCAGGTTAGCTAGTATTTCACTATTGCTAAGTCTTGCAACCTGTGGTGGGTCTTTGCGCATTACTACATCCTCCCCAGTCAACTTTGAAATGCAGGATACAGGGGAAACTGCGTCAACTTGACTCTGGGCTGGTTGATCAGTCACCCTGGAATGATACAATTTCATCATATTAACATGACAAAGCCTGGTCTTGCGACGGCGATCTGGGGTTTGGACAACGTAGTTTGTTTCACTAACTTTCCTTTCTACCACGTATGGTCCTGAAAACTTTGTTTCCAACAAAGAACCAGGGATGGGTAGCAGGATCAAAACTTTATCACCAGGATGAAACTCACGAGTGACCGCTTTCTGGTCGTAGTGCCGTTTCAGTTTGACCTGCTTTGAAGTCAAGGCATTCTGAGCAAGAGAGCAAGCTGTTTGAAGGTGCTCTCTCATCTTCGAGACATACTCTGGAATACTTTTTACAGAGGGAGAGGGTGAAACTAGCTGGTCTTTAAGGACATTTAGAGGTCCCCTAACCTCATTACCAAACACAAGTCCAGCAGGACTGCAACCTAAAGTGTCCTGCACAGTTTCACGCACAGCAAACAACAAAAATGGGATACCTTCATCCCAGTCCCTCTCTGTTTCCATACAGTATTTTCGCAGCATTGTCTTTAATGTCTGGTGGAATCTTTCTAGTGCACCTTGGCTTTCAGGGTGGTAAGAGCTTGAGGTGACATGCTCTATCCCCCACTGTTTTAGTGCCTGGGCAAAGGTTCTGGACTTGAAGTTGGTGCCCTGGTCCGTTTGGACAACCCTAGGAAGACCAAACATGGAGAAAAACTTAACCAGAGCTTTTATGACCATGGAAGCAGTGATTCTCCTCGGGGCACGGCCTCAGGAAACCTTGTGGAAGCGCACATCATCGTCAAGATGTACTGGTTTCCACTTCTTGACTTTGGCAAAGGCCCCACACAGTCCACAATCACCCTTCCAAATGGTTCACCCATTACTGGAATTGGACACAAAGGAGCAGGAGGTATAACCTGGTTTGGCTTGCCTGCGACTTGACAAACATGGCATGTACGACAGTAAAGTGAAACATAAGATTTGAGACCTGGCCAAAAGAAATGTCTCAGAACTTTGTCATAAGTTTTATTTATACCCAAATGCCCTGACAGTGGATGATCATGAGCTAATGCTAGCACCTGTCTGCGGTATGGGGTTGGCACAACAACCTGATACGTGGCATTCCAGTCTTCCAAGTTCTCACCAGCCCAGCGTCGCAACAGGAGACCATCATCAAGCACATATGCCATCTTCTTCCTCTGGGCTTCCTGCTGAGTAAGAACAGAAGAATGACATTTCAACAGAGTCATGTCCTGTTTTTGTGCCACAATGAACTCCTCTCTAGAAGCTGGTAATTTGGACATATCTGGACCAGGAAGAGGAAAGACACTTTCAGGTTTGTTGAGTTCAGTCTCTGATGTGACAGGCTGAGACTGCCCTGTGGCAAGAAAAGAGTCAGACAAATCAGGACTGTATTTCTTTGACTGGGCCTGTGTGACTGCACAAGCAGGGAAAATACCAGAAGACATTGGTTCAAAGTCCACGCTGTGTGTCCAACACCTCAGGCACAGGTAATACCTTTCCACCAGCTAAGTCATTCCCCAGAATGAGATCAATCCCCCTTATTGGCAAGGCGGGAAGAACAGCAACCCTGCAAAAACCACTCAACAGATGAAGTAAGGTGGATTTTATGCAAGGGTGCAGACACAAAAGCCATTCCTATACCTTGGACAACCACTCTTGACTGACAAGATGAGGTGACAGGCAGAGACAAAATACCCTCTCGAATGATTGTCTGGGACCCGCCTGTGTCCCTCAGTATTTTAACTTGCCGGCCGTCCTTTGGATCCCCTGTTAAAGAGACAAGACCCTGGGTAACAAAGGGTAGGAAACAGGGATCTAGTTCATCTCCATTTTTAGCAGTCTGATTGCTAGAGAGCAACACATTTTTAAGCAACCCAGCACCTTTTGTCTGTGTTGCCAAAGCCTTGCTTTTTAAGGACAAGCAGTCAGCAATGACATGGCCCTTTTTATGGCAGTAAAAGCACTCTCTTGCCTCACGAAGAGAAAGTGGAGGCTGCTTAGCCTTAGCTTCCGATGGGGTGGGGTCAGGCTTTTGCTGACGGATGTTCAAAACTTTATCTGCACAAGGTACAGACACAAATACATTTTTGTGTGTCAACATAAACTCATCAGCTACAATAGCTGCTTTAGACAGAGAGGCCACCTTTTGCTCATTCAAAAAGACTACCAGTCTCTCAGGCAATGTGTTCTTGAAGTCTTCCAACAGAATTAGTTGGCGAAGGGACTCAAAGTTACCTTTAACCTCACTGGCAGCACACCATTTGTCAAAAAGGAGTCCTTTCTCACGTGCAAATTCCACATAGGTCTGGGCACTAGACCTTTTATGGTTTCTGAATTTCTGCCTGTAAGCTTCAGGTACAAGCTCATAAGCACGCAAAATTGACTCTCTCAGTACATCATATTTCATGCTGTCCTCTGTTGACAGAGATGAAACAACCTCCTGTGCTTTACCCATGAACTTGCACTGCAGTAGCACAGCCCACATTTCCTTTGGCCACTCAAGTGCTACAGCAATCCTCTCAAATGCATTAAAGTAAGAGTCCACTTCTGACTCTCTAAACACAGGAACCAAAGCAATATTCTTGCTGACATCAAACTTGTTCCTATCTAGCACCACATGGGGAGAATCAGAGTAGACAGATGAACGAGGTGGTGATTTATCACGTGAAAGCCTCATAGCCTCAACCTCAAGCTGTTTCAGTTTAATCTCCTTTTCAGCTTCAATCTCCAATTTGCGCATTTCAAGCTTGAAATTAAACTCAGCTTTTCTCACCAACTCGCGCTCCTGAGCCTCCAACTGCAGGCGAGCTAGCCGAACCTTGAGTCTAGCGTTACCACTGGAGCCACTGAACTCTGGTGACACAGGATCGAACCGTGGTAAAGTTGCAGGAGGCGTCCTTGGTTCTACCAATTCCTTTGGAGGAGTGGCCAATGCAGGAGCTCCTTTATCTTTCGAAGGATGGAGTCCTAGATCAACAGAAGAGTCATCACACACATCTACATCCATTTTGCTTGAGTCCGTGAGGACTTTAATCTCAACCAGTTTTCGAACAACAATGTTTTTAATTTCAGCTTTCGAAAAATGTTTTTTCACCGGAATGTCAAAATGCTCAGCCAGACATAACAAGTCGTCCTTACGACACAGTTCCAGCTTTGCATGGCTAGGAGCCTGTACAAACTCCTCAAAGCTAAAGCTCATGTCTAAACAAACACAAGGTTCTCCCAAATTATTGTGGATGTCAAAAGCTCAGGGAAAAAGTGACTATCCCGGACAAGCCCCCACTTGTTACGGCTCCCCCCCCTTTACTGGGGAGAGAGGGAAGTAACTTGACAACCACAAAAAAATTCAGAGACCAAGTGAATGTTAGAAAAGAAAAATCAGGGATTTATTGGTTACAGATAATCCCAAGCAACTCATACAAATGGTGGGGGAGAAAGGGACGATTAGGTGGTGCCAAATCAAAGGAAATAATAAAACAAAAACAGGGCCTACCTACGGTCTAAGCTACATAAAACAAATGAAAAAAAAAACCCTGCTTAACTAATCTAACAAAAAGATTCACCAAAACTTTACAAGGGTGGCATCCACCTACTTACCTAGTGTGTTTAACAGAAATATTCCTACGTGATGAGATGTACAGGGTACCCCAACCTTACCTTGTCCACTAACTCCCACCACAGACCATTAGACACACAGAACACAACCATGCAGCAAGCAAGCCAAGGAAAAAAAAAGGGGGTAGGATCTCTAAGTGGCTTGCTTATATAGGACCTCCCTGGATCCTGATTGGTCCAAAGGTGGAGAGAATCAATCAAGGGAAGATGGATCCCAGCTTCTGCTACCTGTGTAGAAGCAAAGGGGAGGGGGGAGGGGAAAGAAAAACAAACAGCCTGGCAGGCATGTAACACTAGGGATAATATAATTTTACTCCTCACCTTCCCTGGTTGCATAGGACTCATTACCAAAGAGTCGAGATGCAGTGGTACTAACCTATGCAGGTTCCTATCTGCAGATTAAGCTGAACATCAAGAAAAACCCTTTTATAGTAAACAGATGTTCTGTTCAGAAGTTCTTTTTTAATGATAAATCTAATGATAAATCTTGAGGATGTATTTAATGAGTTTAGGCAACATTTATTGTAACTGAAACAGCAACAGCCCTTTAAACACTTTATGGTATAAAGGAAAACAAAAATATCCAATAAAATTAATTCCACTTCATGATTGTATCCCACTTGTTGTTTCTTTACAAAAAAATAAAATAAAAATCGTATATCTTTGCATCTGAAATGTTGAAAAGGGTTGAAAAGTTCAAGGGTGCTGAATACTTTCACCAGGCACTGTAATAAGGTCATCAGCAGAACCCCACTGCAAGCTGAAATGTTGACAATATAAATGCAATAAATCTTAGTAAATTTATCTCAATTAGAGACTGACATTTTTTCGGGAATCCCACGGGTCACGGGATTCCCGTGGGATTCCCGTGGGATGGGAGTCAGTATTATTAACGATCACGGGATTGGGACGGTACAGGATTAAACATTAACGGGAGCAGACGGGAGCGGGAGCAAACCAATAGTAACTTCCGCTCTGAGTTTTTCACCCGCGCTCAAAAACAACAAGAATGGGAGTGGAGCGGGAGCGGGAGTCATTCTGAACGGGAGCGGGATGGGAGTGGGAGTAATTTCACCAGGAGTGGGACGGGACAGGATTTAGATTTCTACTCTGGCCCGGGATCGGGACGGGACACCATTTTTTTCTGTGGGAGTGGGACAGGACAGGAGTGAAAATCCACTCCCGTGTCAGTCTCTAATCTCAATAGAACCTCAAATGGATTCTTCAGTATGTAATAAAATATAGTGCTCTGGTCTGCAGACAGTGCTCAACAACAAACCTAATGTCAAACCTGATGTGCTTACTATTTTAAATAAAGGTCAAGATTATATTAAAGAAAATAAATCATTGAAATGTTTCAAAGATCCTGAAAATGTTTTGAATATTCTCAGGGTCAAGTAAGATTTGAAGAAGGATGAAAATACATTTTAATTAAGAACTACAAAACAAGAGTTCCACAAATTACAATATTTAAGCTTTGCTGTTCCATTGGCATAATTACAACATCTATTAAATCAATTCGGTTTATCTACATAGCGCAAATTCACAATACATGTCATCTCAAGGCCCTTTACAGAAACAATTCAACCAAATCATACAGTCAGATTGGTTAAACGTTTTGTAGGAATATTAGCTGATCATATTAAGTCATTGACTTTGTAGGACACTCTCTTACTGGTTCAGCATATGGCTACAGTAGACATGCACTGAAATAATCATAGATGTTTTTCCTTTTTTCCACTGAATGGTTACATTTGAACTGGGTGATATTAAAATAATTATCTGAACTAAAGTGGTTTTCTCTTAGTTTGAAGTTTGCTCAAAGTGAATTTAACTCGTTCAGAGTAACCACAAATTTTGTTCTTTGATGAACATGACAGCCAAGTTGTTTTTCATTATCTGTAATGGCTTTATTTAATTGAGTGTCACTTTCATTGAAATTCGATCATGTCAGTGTTTAATGACTTCTGCACTTTGATGGTCAGGGTTCCATATGAGTATTAATTATATTCCGACAACAGTTCTAGTAATCCGTTGTCTTTACCCTTTCAACTGCAATAAAACAGCTTCAACAGTCTAATGCACCAATCTTTTTTTTTTTTTACTTTAAGAATAAATAAATACATATCAGAGAGGTTTTTTTTAAGGATAAGTCAGAACAGTCCTTACATAAACACACAACAAGAGCTTTTCTTTATTTTGGATTTTATTTAGGCATCTTCTGCCCCAAGGACCATTCTGCAGAAAATATGATTAAAAAAACCTAATCATCGGCCTAATCTCTCTCCTATAGTGTGCATTCACCAGTTTTTATAGAAATAAATGTTTTCTTCGCATGGAAAGGTATTCTTATCAACTTCTGTAGTAATGCAGATCACTTCTTAGGTCATTTGCCTCCCATTAAACTCTGTTAAAGCTACGCTCTGTGTATGCACCTCAAATCTCTATCTCTCTGGTTCTTTTTTTTGAAAAGAGATCACTCGGGACAAACTCTTTAAATAACAACTTATAACTTATATGTATTAAATAACCTGAAGACATGACAACAGATTGTGATGTAAATTGTAATCTTACTCATATCAGAGAAGTTGAGTTTACAGAATGGCAGCGGCTCACCTCTCAGGAAGTGGCCCCGATTAACAGTTGAAAAGTCATTTTATACATCTACATTCTGCCTCATCATCACATTTTCCATCATACACATTAGCAGATGATTAGACATCATGGCTCCAGCCTTAACAAAATATTACAATTTGTTCTTAGTTGAAGGACACCGCTCTCATGCCATTCTCAAACATTTATATAACTGTATATCAGGACAGAGGAACCGTCTTAACCAGATAAAATATTTTGGAAAACATCAGCTCTGATATGCAACAGGCAGCCATACCAAGGTGTAATAAACTCACACATCATCAGTGATACTTATCCTAACAACTCTAAAGTACAGCAGTTCACAGAATATTTAATTATTAAATCAATAGCTGTGAGGTGCCAAGGCCCTGCGATTGGAAAACAAGCTTAAATCATTTTCCTTACAACAGGCTTAGCAGTATGTCCAGCTTTAGTGCCTCTATGTTTTTTGGTTTTCGATAAACACACCCCTCCAGGTGATTTTTAAACTTTGAATAAAATTATTGTTTTGACACAGGGGACCAACGTAACTCTAAGTCATGAAAAAAAGATTTTGTTCTAGCTACTCTTCTATTTTTGTCTCTCATCTTGTTAAATATCTGAGTGAGCACAAAAATAAATGAATAGTTAAGAAACATGAGTCAGAAAAAAAAAAGAATCATGAGTCATCCTGCTTTAAATTGCAGTTACTGAATATCAATAAAGGACTTAAGGTTGTGAAGGGATGTTGGTAAATCTTTTTATAAATCATCAGATACGTATGTAATAAGTAATATGTTGAAAATGAAAATACATCAATAATCAATATAATAGTCTAACTATATCCAGCATGTTTTCTAGTGTTAGATACAATGCCATTTTGAACTAAAGTTGTGAGCGCACAGGTGTTTGTGTGGGTGTGAATATGTTGTGCTTGGTTATCAATGTCTGTGGTGGAGCTCGTGCCACTTCTTGATGTCTTTGTCTAATCTCTCCATCATTTTCTCATTCTACACTGTCAGAATGTCAATGTGTCTTAGATGAAAGTCTTCCAAACAGATAATCTGTCAGTTTTTTTTTCTCAGTAGGGTTCCTAAGAAAAAAATTACCTTTAAGGGTTAAAATCCAACACCTCAATTTAAATCTTTGTCAGTAAATTTATTATGGTGGAAAATTAAAGCAAAAGGATTTGCACACTAAATTCATGATCTTCAAGAGAATTTGAGTTGAGCATTTTTAACGGATACCACTAAATGCTGTCATGCAGGTGTCACCATGATTCAGCGCTGAAAGGAAAACAGGTATCCTCACTTACATGAAACAGATCTGACTAATGATCTGAATAATTTTCATGGTGATATAAAAAAATGTTCACCTTTAATGTGGTGTTACAGGGGCATGATCTTCACACTGACGCAAGGACTGAAAACTTTCTGCATTGCTGAAATGTGTTTTTCAATTATATATGATGACAAGACTTGAAAGTTTAACCAAAACAAACAGAGGCTCGAAATAAAAAAGTAATTATGATACATGTGTTGCAAAATGAGAACATCTTAGATGAAAGTATTTGTCAGATGTTTTAAACTGCTCATTTTCCAACCTCGAAATTCCACATCTCAGTTTTGAAATGTCATGTAATGCATTGGTTTATTTACATCTGCTTGGATAATCTAGCACAATCATAATCTCCTTCAACCATATATGCACCACTAACCACTATTCATTTTTTACCTGAAGCCGTCCACAGTACTTTCATCTCTCTTTCAGCCTCTTGGTTAGATGTATATTAAGGAGGGAAATTACAGGCTAAATAACACCCCACAGTGGAGTACCACATTCAATATATGAATATATATTAAAAAAAAGAGTGGATTGAGTCTCTGCTCTCTGTTGAAAACCTCTAAACCTATGATTTCCATGTATGTCATCTGGCCTCTGAAGCTTTTATTTAAGGTTAGGAACTACTAATCATAACTTCAGCGGCAGTTATTTTTCTTTTCCTTTGGTCTTCTTCAGTGCTGACTGATATAGATTCATATATGCCATTTATAAAGAACAAAAATAAAAATACACAAAACACAATTTGACATATGGCAGAGTTTTCTGAATGTGTTTATGAATGGGTGATTTAATATCTTGAAAACAGAAACAAAAAATAAAGCTATGGAAGTACAGGCCATTTACCATTTGATCAATTGCATTAAAACAGGCCATATACTTTCATTCTC